CATCCCTGCCCATCCCTGTCCATCCCTGCCCATCCCTGCCCATCCCATCCCTGCCCTGCCACCACAGATCTGTGCCCTGAACAGCCTCCCTCCCTCCTGTGCCCTGGGAGCCAGCAGTGCCATCCTGCCTGTGCTCAGGGCAGCCACCACTGCCCCTTCTAAACTGCCCTGTTTGCTCGATTGTTGCATTGTCAGAGTTGTTCTTCCATCCCTGCTCGTGGATTCAGGGTCTTGAATTTTTAACAGCCATCAAAATATGTTCAGCATTTCCTAACATGAAATCAGTCATTATCCTTTTTATGGCTTCTCTGTAAGGATAAGCAATTACTGGGGAGAAATACAACCTACAGCACACTCATCTGACTCACTGTTAAGGGCCACAGCTGATTGCTTTGGTTGAAACATTTCTATTGTTTAAATTTTTGCTAGAGGGGTTATTTTCTTTTGTAAGACTACAGAATTATCAGACTTGTGCTCACATTTCCCACATTTTAAAATCTCTTTTATCTACATGGTATACTGGTATAAAGGCTGAAATTAAGACAAGGAAATTTTTAAGTATTTAATCGGTTAGACATAGTAACAGCTTTAAAAGGAATTCAGCATTACAATGTGGGAAATACTGGAATTTTCTAGAGAAGTGTGTATTAAACTTAGATCCTTCTCACTGGTCTCCAGAGCAGAATGGTAAAATATTTAGAAACATTGTCTCTAGTGCCAAGCTCCCTTTCTTGTCTCTGAATGTTGACTTCAAATGTGGCTGTATTAAAATCTTGCTGGTTTTGTTGTTCCAGCTTGATGACTGCCCATTTCAGGTTCTCATTTCAGTGGAAATGTGCATGTTTCTGTGCAGGGCTGACCTCTGCCCCCCACTCTGTGTGTTGTAGGGCAAACCAAGGGAATTATTGCTTATGGGCTCCACTTTGTGACACCTTTTCTTTCTCCCCCTTTTTCAGAGCTCCCTCAGTGACAAAGCAGATTCCCAGCTAATGGCCATGCCTTACACAGACACCAGTCTCAGGTAATGCAGAGCAGCTCCTTTGTTATTGCTTTCTACTGAATAACCTACTTTTTCACCAACAGCTGGTAAAGAATGCCCATTTTCATCATCTCAGGGTTCTTAAGCCAAATACAGCTACTTTTCTTGGCCTGATTCTGTCCCTTAGCAAATAACTGCTTCTAATTATTTATATTACACTTAAAGTAACCCTGGTATTGCAGCTCCACTCTTCCAGGGCCTTTCTAGCCATGAATTTTAAGAAAATCCTTGCTTTGCTCTCCAGAATCCCTTTCTAAGCAGATTTGAATATTTAGGGAAGAACAGGGGGAGCTGGCTTTGGATTCTCTGTGAGTCTCTCATTGTCTTCAAGAGTTAGAGCCATTATAGCTAGCACCAAATTATGATGATGAGCCTGAAGTACCATTGTGTCTCATTTGCATCCTTTGTGTCCATCTGCTGACTTTGCTGATTACTGGAGCACGTTAATGCAGAGTTTCCTGGTGTCCCCTGCTCATGGCTGTCCTGTCCCCCTTCCCTGGTGACAGCAAGCACTGCACAGAAGAGATTTAGGAAACAAAATTTCTCTCTCCTGATCTCTGTGTGAGACTGTTCAGGAGGCTGTCTGCTTTGAGGTGCCAGAGAGGAGTGTAAGAGCAGAATGGAGAACAGAGGGGACTTTTGGTGAGAGCAGCACCTGAAGTGGTGCTGTGGGGAGTAACAGCTGTGCACTCTCTGTTTGCATTGCTGCTTTGAAAGCAGCATCAGCCTGGGGGAGATTACTCTTGAAAAAAAATTATCTGGATTATTGGAAACAGTGTGCAACATCATGCAACTCTGCATGGAATAATCTGTTGTGCTCTGAAGGAAGTGAGATTTTTTGGGCTGTTTTTTTCAGATTAATGATGTTTACATGAAAAGCAGCAGTGAGTCATGGCAGCTGCATGCTGAGGCTGTCCTGGAGCTGCTAAGAACATAGAACAGATTTCCAGTTCCTCCCAGAGCCACCAGCTATTAGGTGCTCCATGAAATCATAGAATCACGGAGCAGTTTAGGCTGTAAAGGACCTCTGGAATCTCTAGCCCAGCTCCATCTCAGGAGGGGCTTGCTGGGCCTGGCTGTTTCCATGAGTGAGTAATCCAGCTCAGATGAGCTTTGTTTCCTGTGTGAGAAGGATGGGAGCCCATTCCCCTGGTGCAGAGCTCCAGAAGGGGGTGTCTAGAGAAGAGCTGCCTGCTCCTGGGCCTGCAGGATTTACACCCCCAGGCCCATGGGAGGGCAGCTGACTCTGGTCTAGCAGTGACAGCCTGCTATTACTGCTGCTGGAGAAAATCTCTTGATGATAGATTTGTTCCTTGTTATGTTTTAGAAACACACTAAAATAATCTCAGTTAGCCCCCCTAGTTCAAAACCTGTGTGAGCAGAAGACAGCTGGGGAGGGGAGGTGCACAAACACAAACACACAGTGTGCTGTTAAAGTGGAGGACATGAAAATGGTCCAGCTAATGGTTTCCCTGAGTACAGCTTTCCAGTGTGATTAAACAAGATACTTGGGAATGGGCTTGGGGAAGTATAAATGATAGCAGTGTATGCTAGGAATTTCTCACCTTTCCAAGATAAACAGTGGATAAGTACCATGATTGTAGGATTTGCCAGTGTTTTGGTTTGGAATGGTTTAGAGCATCTTTTCCTTGTGTCTCATATGTGTAAGATGAGAACCGTGGAAAGATAAGCCAGAATTATGTGAATAACTTAGTTTTGCTCCTCTGTCTAAATTGAAAATCAAGGGCAAAACCTTTGAGTTGACCAGGGCAAAAATCTTTGAGTTGACCAGAGGACACAGCAGGGGAAAAAAAAAAAAAAGGTGGGTGAGAAGGAAGGTGAATTTGTCATTTGACAGTAAATTAAAAGCTCTGTTTATGCTTAACTTTGCACTTCTTTCAATTTCAGTGGTTTGGATTCTTAGCAGTAAAAGAAAATTATTAAATTATTAAATGGTTTGATATTTTATTTCAGAATGACATTGTATCCTTAAATTTATTTTCAGAAGTCATCACAATTTTTCAAACACTTGATATTGAAACTTTTTTCCCTGTTGAGCTAGCAAACAGGATTTTGCTGGCCTCAGAAGCATGAACAAAAACAAATCTGGAAAACTTGGCCACAGTAAGACCTCTGAAGCACCTTGAACTTTCAAAAATTACTGGGTAGTTTCGTTGTCTTCACCTGTGTTCTGTGCTCCTCTTGCTGCTCTCAGTGGATGAAGAGCTGCAGTTCCTTTAAAAAGCAGGTCTGCTCACTGAAATTAACTGTCTGGTCTGAGATAATTACCTTTGCCCTTCTTTATTTCAGCAGGAGCTCAGGGAATGAGCTGCAGGTGTATTATGCCTCTCCCAGGAGCTATCAGGACTTCTTTGAAGCAATTCACCGAAGGGAGGACACGTTCTATGTGGTGTCATTCCGCAGGGTAAGATGAGGAATATCTTCTGATATTGGCCTTTCACCCGTGTCCCCAAGGCTGCTTCTGGCAGAGGCACCAAAGATGACTTAGTCATCATTGAAGATAAATCTGTTCCTTCTGAAATGATGCTTCACTGTCCTTTACAGCATCATGGCCAGATCATGGTCTTTGCAAAACATGAAATTAGATGTGCCCATCACGCTGGGAATGGAAAGAACTTTGCAGAAACTTTGTAGTGCCAGGGCAAGACAGCCCAAAATTGGAACCCTGTGGTTAAACACACCTAATTAGAGCTACCTAATGGGGGTACAAACCTTCTGTGCTTCTGGGTATAGGAGCAAATGGACCCTCTGCATCAGTTATTACTGTTAACAGAGTTTCTATCTTCCCCTAAAACTCTTGCATTTGCAGTTTCATGTGTCACATACTGCAGCTCTGCAGGACTGTGTGCAGGGCCACGATTTTCTGCTGTTCTGTGACTTGTAGGTTGGTATGGATGAGCAGGTGTGCTGTCTGTGCTGAGATAGGACAGAGGCTTGTGCTGCAGCTTTGTCAGGCACAGCTTCACCTCTGCAGCACAGTTAGTGATGGTAAAAGCTGTTACAAAATGGAATTTCAGGTGTCTGGTGGCACTTTCTGCACTGCAAGCACGACTAGTGTTGAAGGCAGGACAGCTGCAGCAGTGAGAAGCTGGTTGGGATCTGGTAATGGAAATGATCGAGGCAAACAGTGGCTGAAACACCAACCTGGAGCTGGAGGAGTTTCTTCCCTCCCTTTTGCAGAGGTCTGGATGAGTTGTTAGATATGTCTGTAATCTTTGGCTGAGCCTGGGGTCCTGCTGAGCCTCCTGCCCTGCATTTTGCAGTTGGGGTGTCAGATGAGAATTGTTCTGTGTGTGTGCTCAGCCAGCTCCTCCCAGCACCCTGCAAGGCTCCATTTGTTTCCTCTTCAGGGGGGTGTCCTGAGAGGGGTCCCAGGGTAGTGGGGGAGCAGTAGTGGCCATGGCAGCAGCTCACCCAGCTAAAAGCAGTTCTGTGTCACAGCACACAGATAAACACAGCTGGTTTTAGCAGTTCCTGTGTTGTCATAGCTACCAATCTATAGATGTCTTGGGTACAGAGGTAATACAGCCCTGTCCTACCTGGCACACAGCAAGTTTGTTAATTGGTGAGATGCATGTCTGTAGGGAAGGTTCAGACAAAGCAAAAATAGCAGTGCTCTTCTTAGGACTAAGGTTTTATGCTGAGTAGAAATGTGAAGTTAGTTTCCAGTCTTGGGATTATTGGGTTGTGTCACAAGGCTGGAATTTTGTTATTAAATGCTTGGCATGTTCTGCTGTTCTTTCAGCTAGCAACACAAATACAGCCAGCACCAGGCTCCACATATCCTGAGGATGAGGAGGAGGGAGTGGAGAATAAAAGTTTTCTTGGCAGCTCTGACAGCAAAGCAGAGCAGTGTTTGTAGAGTTCTGCCCTTGGGGCCATTGCTCCAGCTCACCTGAACACATGCACATGTCCCTGGGTCCTGTTTACACTGTGGGGTTAATGACCTGGAAGTTGTCAGCTCTCATTTCAAGCCACAGATGTCCTTGGAAACAGTGAGCCTTGTGCCACACACTCCCCACAGCGTGCTGTGCTCTCTTGCAGGGAGGGGTGAGGCGGTTCAAACCCATCCATGAAGTTGATTTGGTTGCAAAGCTTTTGGTATTTCTGTTTCATGAATGAAATGTCCTCACATAGAAGGCCGTTTCATGCATTACCTCATTTATTGTTTTAGCAGGGCAAACCTGGTGTAGCAGCAGGCTGTGCCCTGAGGCACTGGTAAATGACTTGCTTGGAATCTTTTGTGAGAGCAGAAGAAAGGATCCTGCACAGCCCGAGGGGTGGCATCAGCAGGGCCCCAGCCTGGGAGCTGCCCTTTCACCTCCTCCTGGGGATTCCTTCATTTTCTCTGGCCACAGCTCCCTTTTCACCCCTGATTGGGGCTGGGGGGGGACTGGTTCCTCCCCAGTGTGTCCCACAGCTCACTGTGTCACTTGTCCAAGTGAGGAGCCAGGAAAGGCTTTGTTCTCTCGCTGTTTGCCATGCAGACACTCCCACAAACTCAGTAAGTGTTACAGCCCTCTGACACACAAACCAGAGCAAGAATCCTGCATCTAAAAGCTGCGGGCAGTGGTGGTTGTGGTGGTGGTGGTGTGCTCCAGGTGGAAGGTGGGACTGTGGATCTCAGGAGAGACCCCTGCATCCCGTGTCCCATTTCCTGCTCTGTGCACAAACCCCAGCATTTCTCCTGGATACATGTGACAAAACACTTGCACTACAGGAGCTGTGCCCTGAGTCCTCTGATTTTCTAGAAAATGGGTTTTGCTAGGGCTACCCCTGCCTCTTACATGGTGGGACTCAGCCAAGACTTCTGGAAGTGCAGGGTTGGGTGTTCTTCTGGTGATGCTTGCTACGTAAGACTGAGACTGCCATGATCTCATCAATTTTCTTCTCTTTCCTTGCCCTGGAAGGCTTGCAGGTCTGCATATTTACAGTTGAAGTTTATGTGTTTAGTTTTTTTTTCCCTTTTTAAGGAGGAGAGAGGAAAATGAAGTAGCATTTGGATCAGCTGAGTCCACAGAAGCAGAGCTTTTGCTCCGGGTCTCTAAATAAATTAATTTGTTGCTATTTTCAGGGGAATCTGGAATGTCGTTTTTAAACAAGAGAAGTCTGCTGCTCTGCCAGCACCTTTGATTTCTGCTCTGTAATGTCTGTGATGCCAGGTGTGCTTGATGTGTCCTAAAAGCCCAGAGGAGTGTGGATACAGAGCCTGGTGGCTCTGGGGGAGCCTGGCACCCACACAGCTCTGCCAGAGCTCACATCTGCTTTGCCACAGCCTGCTCAGCCCTTGAGATGGTTTCTAGAATTACCTGGTAATTAAGGTAATTAAGTAAATCATTGGAGCAAACAAATCCCTTCCACTTTACTTAGGTCTGTAAATGGTGCTGGAGATGACTCCACCCTTGTGTGGTTAGGGTCAGAGTCCCCACAGCTTGGAGTGATAAAGCTGTAGGTTTCTCCATCCTGGGAGGTTCACTCAGTGAAACTCTGATGGCATCTCTGCAGGCATATTTAAAGACAGAGACATTTTTTAGGGTAAGAATGTCATTAGTGTTCTTAAGGAAAGCACAGTTTAAAGTTTAATTTGCCTGGACAATGCAGAGGATTTCTGGCATTTCCTCTCACTGCTTTCCCTGTTTCAGAGCACAAATGTCTCCTAATATCAGAGTTTGCCCCTTGCATTTATTGCAGTGCATATACAGTATCTTACAGCAGGATGTAGTAAAAAGTAGATATTAAATGGTGATTCTGTTTGTTAGAGCAAGAGTGATGCCAGCCCTGTGGGAATCAATGGCAAAGCCTTTACCAACATCTGTAAGACCAGGATTTTGCTCTATAAATTTCTCCTTCAGTGCCATAAATCATAGAGCTTCAGGAAAACCTGTTATTATGAAAGTAAATTTTTGGTCCTACAAGCCAACATCTGCAGTAAGCATTTAAGGGTTTCTCAAGTTCTGCAAACAATTTTTTGCTGAAATGTTGAAGCCAAATTTCAGTCAGAACTTTGATTATTTCTTTGTTTTCTAGGACTAAAAATGTCTAGATTGTGATGTGCTTCTGTTGGAAATAAGCCTGTGCTGTGCTAATTGTATTTGGGATGATATAATTGTATTTGGGATGATATAATTGTATTTGGGATGACCTGTTACTTTCAGGAAGCAGAGGATTACAAAGGCTGGCTTTGACATGCTTGGGCAGCAGCAGTTTGCTGTGCTGCACACACTTCTGGAACAATAATTTGAATGTATCAGGGAGCACCAGGCAGGTTCCAATTGATTGCACTCCCAGTGCCATCTACATCCTGCAGGCAAAACTGCTTTATTGGCTTCAGATGACATTTCACAGCTAGAAATCCATCCCTAACATACACTTAACTCCTGCTTTGTTGCACTTGACAATGGGTGGTTTTTACTGAAGGTGGAGTTTTCTGCTGTTGACTTTTTTGTGGATTTCTGCAGACTGGGATGTGTAATTTGGTGTTTGATTCAGATGAATTGATTAGTCCTGCTGCCCCTAGAGACAGAGCAGCTATTCTGTACGGCTGAGTCCTGGGGATTTGCAACTGCTGCAAGTTAACATGCAGATTTTTGAGAGATTTTACAAACTGCCCTTTTTCCTGTGGAGCCTGACCTTAGCTATTCAGAGGAAAAAAAAAGCTGCTTTATCCCAGGATTGTAGGATTTTTAGATCTTGTCCTGTATTTTATAAATATGCTGAGAATAATACATGGTGAAAGAACTGAGGCCCAGGGCATGGTATCCATGGTAAAATTGTCTGTCCTTTTCAAAGCAGAGGTCACCCTTTAGCCTGTCTTCTCTGTGGGGCCAATTCCTGCCTCTCTGGGAGAGCTTGAGGAAGCAAACAGTGTGTGTGATTGTGCTTCAGCATGCCCTGAAGCTCAGTGAGTCAGCCTCTGTCAAACTACAGCTGTATTTGACTTCCAGATTTGAAAATCCATGATGAAAACCTCCTGTTTCTATCTAAGTGTCAATAGTGAAAATTAAGTCTGGCCTGCCACATTCTTTGTTACAAATTCCCTCTTTTCTGGCCAGACTTTGGCTTCTTTCTGTGTCAGGGAATTTTCTCCTTCTGAATCCCCAGTGTCCACATGAACACAAAGAAGCAAGTATCTTTATCTTAGACCTTTTATCTTAGAGCTTGGTCTAAAAAAACCTCCTGAGAGAAATCTAATAATCTAAAATGAGGTCTAAAAATTGATGTTGGTCTCTAGAACACAAATGGAGGTGGTGTTGAGGGCAGAGGCAGGAAACTCGAATTTGTCTGGCATGAAGCAAAAGCTCCTCTTGGATTTTGTGTGTATAGTCTTGATTCATTTGTCTTCTCCATGGCTGCTGGAACTTCATGAGTCCTATTAATGCCCTCCCTGAACTTCTTTACATGTCC